AGCCTTCCTGCTGTGGCATCTTCCCTGTGTTGAAGTTGCTGGCATTGAGCTCTCTTGTGCCCAGGTTTGTTACAGTGCCAGCAAAGGTCCTCAAACCTCTCTGAAAGCTGCTCTTTTCTGGCATTGAATTTTGATGACTGTACCAACCTTGGTACCTCTGTGCTGGACTTAACATAGGATTCGAATTCAAGAGCTCTGGCCATTGCATCCTGCATGGTAGAGGAGTGTGCTTGCTTTACTTGTATCTTCCATTGTGGACTGTCCAAGGTGTCTACAAGCTGATCCCTCAGCAACAGCTTGAGGACATTGGGTGGTGCAGTTGGGTTGGCCTTGTGTGCCATACTTTCCAAATCCTGTGCCAGCTCTTGCAGGCTCTCCCCTTCAGCACGGACTCTCGTCCTAAACCTAGCCATGTAGAGTTTGGACTGATTTTGAGTTCCATACCTGAGTTCTAGAGCAGCTACCAGTGTTCTATAGTTTTATCTGTCATCTACTGACAACTGTTCAAGTATTTCCAGTGGTTGTCCCTTCAGACTCGTTGTGAGGTACACTGCTCTCTCCTCCTCTGTCCATCCATTCATTTCAGCCAGTAGCTCAAATTGTGCTATTTTTTGCTTCCCATGGTGCCTTCCCATCGATTTCCTGTGACTTCCTTCGTACTAGATCACCCCTATTGCTGACAATTGTGTCTGGAATGTGACTTCTGGCAGGACTGAAGATGTCTGCATTAGAGTTTAGCTGCAAGGTCTGGAAGGGGCTTCCTGTTGTTTGGGGCTGATTAGGTCCATGGTTAATATATCCTCCCTGTGTAAAGGACAGTAAATCGTTGTTTAATGTATTTAATTCACTTTGAAATTTACTAATCTTTTCTATTTGTGTATGCTGGCTTTCTCTCAATTGTTGGATACTTTCTTGTTGTTTATTTTCTTTCTCCTCCAACCACTGCTGTAGTCTCTCTTCTTGTTTATTTTCTTTCTTCTACAACCACTGCCGTAGTCTCTCTTCTTGTTTATTTTGTTTCTTCTACAACCACTGCCGTAGTCTCTCTTCTTGTTTATTTTCTCGTTCTGCTTGTTTCTTTTCTTTTTCCTCCAACAACTGCTGTAGTCTCTCTTGTTTATTTTGCTGTTCGAGCTGCTACTGTTGCAGGTTTTCTTGCCACTGCTACTGTCTCTCTTCTTGTTTCTTTTCTTTTTTCCTCCAACAACTGCTGTAATCTCTTTTCTTGTTTATTTTCTCGTTCTTCTTGTTTTATTTGCTGTTCTTGTATTGCTGCCATCAAATCTGTTAAGCTGTAGTTTGATTTGCCACTTCTCGTTTCCGTCTTCTTCTTTTT